GTGCTTCACCGGCGGTCGCTGGCCTGCAATTACTTGGTTCTCGTCCCTTTTTCTCTGTTCCACTGCCCGTTATCCATGGATTTTCCGGCGTTGGTTCATCCCTTCAGGTTGGGCGTTTCTCAGTCAAGCGACCGGGGGTGTAGAGCTTTCTCCGTCAAGGGGTTGTGGAGTCGTTGTGCGGTTCCTGGGGCGGGACACGTCCTGATTGATCGGCGACTTGTTTGCTGGGCGACCGGGGCTGTGATGGTACCAAAAGCTATTCATCATCTCGCTCGATTTTTGGGTCGATTGGGGTCCGTTGAGTCAATTCTTCCTCCATTGAGGCTGGTCGGAGTATTGCTGCGGCGGGGAGGTGGTTGATTGGTAACTTCTAGCTGATTTTGGATCGGGGCTACGGTTGTGGCATTCTTTTGCCTGCTTGGTGCACATGAGTGTCGTGGCTGTGGTGCGAGTCAGCATGTTGTGGTTCTAGGGTTGGGGGTTTTGTCTCCGTTAGGCACCCGAGTGGTTTAGACAGTTTCGGACGATGCTTCTGGCTAAGGGATTCGTTGTTGACTTGTTTCCGCTGGTTTTGGTTCGGTGTTGCTGTTTAGGAAGAACTTGTTTATTTTGTGTTAGTTTTGTTTTGTTGTTTTATTTTGGTTTTGTGTGTTGTCGTCGTGTTATATGTGTTTTTGGTCTGGGCCGTTGGACCTGTGATCCTGAGTATCAACTTATTCTCCTGTTGGGAGCAGATACTTGGGTATTACCCTGTTGGGGACTTTTTAGTTTCTTAGTGTTGTTGTGTGTTAGTGTTTTTGTGCTTGTTTGTATTACCCCGTTGGGGTCGGCTTTAGGCAGTCATTCAGTTGTTGGCTGTCCTCCCACTCTATTCAGCTGTTGGCTGATCGTATTCAGCTTATGGTTGTACTTTTGTATATTTGTGTGATTAATAATATTTCTATCGTTTCGAAAAAAAAATCCCCAATTTTATGGTAAACAATTTTTTTAATAAAAAATGATAGAATTTTGACATTTACAAAATTGTCATGCTGAATTTTACTTAAATTAATATGATTTCTATGCAATCCGATTTTTTTTTAATAAACAATTGATCTGTTGCAATTATTAAAAGATATATGTGATAATATTTTGCCTAATTTGAAATTTTCGATTTTATGGTAAATAGTTTTTAATAATAAATGAGAAAAAAATTAGACTTTTGTAAAATTGTAAACATCAGTTGAAATTTACCTAAATTAAATCCACAAAATCCATGAATGTATGATGCATATATAGCTGATCGTTTTTTTGAGAATAATTTAAAAAGAAAATTAAAAAACTACAAAAAATGAATGCAATAAATGTTGGTTGACTTTTCTTGCTACTATTTTGATAAATACATTGGTTGTTTATATAGATATATAGATTATGTTTTTTACCTTTTTTTTAATTGTTTACAATAACCAACCATGGTTACTTTTTGTATTGTAGAACTATAGACTGTAAAGAGGAAAAATCTTCCTAATGCTCACAATAGAGATTATGTGGGGGTTTTGATTATCGGATAATGCTCCTCTATCCACGTCCACCGTTTATGTGACATGCATACATTGGTGATGTTAATATGTTCAAAAAAATACTCCCTCATATTTTTATTATTTGTCGTTTTGAGAAGCAACACGCTAATTAATTTTTTTTCTTGCCAATATTACCCCTATTTAATGGATGTTATGAAAACTATGGAGATAGGATATGAAGAGACACTGTGCATTGATGGAAGGTTGGAAAAATATGAACAAATTAGCCAGAACGACATTTATTTAATCAATAATCCATTAAGCCAAAGTGACAAATAATAAAAATAGAAAATAGAAGGGAGTACAATAGTACATGACACATAAGCGGTGGACATATTAACATGTGTCTACCGTGGGTAGGGAAACATTACTGTTTGATTATCTACCAAAAAACCTACTTTTCAGCTTTTATTTGTTAGGCGGGACGGACTATTTATTAGACGGGTTGACCATTATTTTTTTTTTTTTAAAAAAAAAATACATAGTTATTCAGAATATGAATTTATAACATTTAAATTAGGAAGTATCATGACAAGCCATGTCATTAAGTTTGCCTAACACGAAAATAATTATAATTATGGTAGCAATATTGAGGAGAGAAAAGAAAGAAAAATGAGATTTGTAGTGTTTAATACATCACTTTTCCTTCACTAGTGAATAAAATTTTCCTCACAAAATAGCCAAAAATTTCTAATCTAATGCTAACACCCCTAAAATGTAACTGTTTTTTCTTTCTTCCCAATACCAAATTGCAAGAAAAATGTGATAAAAATTATTCCCCCAGCACAACAAAAGCATCACCATATCTTATATAACATCAGCTCGTAACACAATCCTGCAAATATCTATGGCCACGGTTAACATACTGCTCCCACAGAGCCCTATACCTGACTATGCTCACCTTCAGCCATGGCTTCATGTTCCCGTTATAGTGAACGACAGCCGCTGTCTCTATCAACCGGTTATCGATATTCAGATCATAACCCAGTCCCAAAACGTGCCACCTCCGGTCGAGCGGCTCAGTCAGCCCGTAGAAAGCCAGAAGTCCAGGAGGAAGTGTGCCGAGCGCCCAAAGTGATCTGTCCGTATTCTGCTCCAGCCAAAAATGATATCTTGAAGTCACGTTTTGTCTCCTCCAAGCAATCAAATCGAACACGTTCATGCCGAAAGCCCACCCGCAGGCCTGAGGGTCGAATTTGGTGCTTATGAGCGGGTTCGAAAAGTTGAGGTATTTGTAGTAACGGTGGAAGGCCTCGAGGCACGTCTCGACTGCCCCGTTCACATTTCCGTGCAAGTCGATCGAGAACAGCGGGATCAAGTCCTTCTGGACCACAACATCATCGTCTAGAAAAACTACCTTCTCCAGCTGCGGGTAAATTTCGGGGACGTAAAAACGGAGGTGGTTCAAAAGGGAGATGTGTTTCGGATTGTGGAACTTTGGGTCGCGACCTGTGCTGTCCTGCGAGCTCTCGAAATAATACTTTCTTGAATCCGAGTCGAGCAGCTGCTTCACGGCGGGCGAATAGGATGCGTTCAGCCAGGTGAATTCTTCAATGTTTTGAACTTCAATCGTGGCGCCTTTGAAATCATTCGTGAGAAACCAAGCCTGCATGGCTCCGTACTTAACGCCATTCGTCACGACGTGAAAAACGAGCTGTTTCGGGTGCTCGGCGTTAGAAACGGTCGAGTTGACAACGACCGAAACAGCTAGTAGGTTATCGGAAAATATACAGAAATGATAGAGATTATTGTCAACTAGCCGGGGAGAATTTTTCCGCTCGTCTGCAAGAAGCTGTAGTGATTTGTTCTGAAGCCAGTCGGCCGTGAGCTTAATGTTGATGCACTCGAGATTCTTGGGAATTGACTCGGCAGCTAATTGACCGAAAACCGTACCTTGAATGGTGGCCGTGTTTGCTCGCTCTTCCAGGGCCTGGATATGGGACTTCATGGTCATAATTGTGGTGGCAATGTCGTAATGGGCTTCTTGGGCCTTGAAAATAAGAGAAGATAGGCTTTTGATTATTGGCTCGGCTTCTTCCAGAGATATGGGCTCATCCCGCATGGCGGCCTTGGAGAGCAACAGCTGGCAACTTCTTATTCTTGAGCTCAGCTCCCAAGCGAGATGGAGATTGTTGTGCTCTTTCGAGATTATGACATAAGCTTTGGCAAGAGTCATTTGTTCGGCTAGCTGTCTGGCATATGATCTGGCGTTTAGTATTTGTTCGGTGAAATTACGGTTCTCATGAGTAATTCGGTCGTTTCTGGAATTTATCTCCTGATATAAATTAGGAAAATAATAAAATCAAATGAGTCGAACATTTAACTCGTAAAGTGAAACCATCAAGTGTAGCAGTCTGCAAATATCAGGTACTTTCTAACAAAAAAAAAAAAATGTTAAAAGCAGAAGGCATAGGCTATAGAACTTCACCATCTTTGAACTATAGAAGTAAATTTAGGAACCCTTGTCCAGCATAACCGCATGACACCACATTACAAACTGATAAAATATAAATAAGTGAATTGAACTGAGCCCTCTCAACTTATTAGGTTATTCAGACAAGCCTACTAATGTTTGTTTTTCTTTCCCCACAGTAGTAATTGGAGAGCGATTCATCAAAATCGCAATTAACTTTTAGGATTGGGTCGGTTCAATTGTTCACTAAAAAAGTTCAGGGCTCCATATAAAACTACAAACAAATGGGTGGAACTAGGGTCTACTGCTTCAGCAGTTAAAATAAAACATGTAAAAAACCCATCACCATAAGCCTACAATTTACCCAAAATAAGCCTTACGACTGAGAAGTAAGAATATGAAAAAATAAATATAATTGAAGTATTTCATGCAATAATAGGTTTTAGCTCACCCCAAGAGTGAAAGATGAAGAACCAAAATAGAGATACTCAAGCGCAGTTAACTGTGGGTGAACTACAGAATATAATCACTGCAAGCAGCCATTTTACCAAGATATATTTGCGTATTATTTCTGTTCAGAGACGTGATTGAGGTTGAATTTAAAGGAAGAGCAACGGTATAAGAAGATTTCAATAATGTCAATCTCAGGATTATACCCTAAATTGCCCATTGAAATTCTTTTTAGGGAAAAATACCAACGAGAGCAACAACTTTGTGTTCCACTCTCATTAAGTTCCTGCTTTCGAGTGCCCATAAGGATCACTGCCCTCATAGTGCACCTATCATTTAATTTTAAGTTAAAGTAACATCTGATTTTCTTTTTGTCCATATTATTCCACTTGAAATGGCAAAGTGAGCTGATAGCCCTGTCACTGCCAAATGGCACATTAATATACTTAGGAGGTCAAGTGGTCTAAAAATTAATCCACTGGAACTATTATTGAAATTAGAACAACATTTTACATTCACCTACATGGTTGATCAACTCTAAGAACTTCAGTACCTCTAATAGATTCGTGTGAACTTTGTCATGAAAGTTGCCTAACTTAATAGAGCTAGAAACAACATTAGCATATAGCACCTTGAAGTTATGGTTTGTGAATCCAAAGACTGCCAAAGCCTATGCATCTATGTGAACAACTAACTATTGGCAAGCACCCATTACACTGTAAACAACTTACCCATTTACTTTCATACAACTAAAGTCATCCACATGATGCCAAACATCAATTGAACATCCCAGAGGCAGTCACACATTACGAGAGCAAAATCTTTGCTTCGTGATTGGGCTTCACACTAGTCCAATTCTATATATTCATCAAGCCAAACTCATATAGAAAGTTGTTGAAAAATGAAGAAGAAAGGACAATGCCCTATTAGTTCTCATCATCAAATTTATGCTATTCATAATGGTTAAGTAGTTACCGCAAACACAAGTTTTTACCAGATTAAAAAATGATCTTCTATGGTATGGCTGGTTACAAGGAGAGACCCACGAACAATGTCTATCAAGAACCAATTATTGATCTCCATGAGATTGAACTTCCCACAGAGAAACAAAATACATTTTTCTTGGGAAAACAACAAAAGGGGCGCTTGAGATAACTTGAACAGATTACCAGAGGAGAAAAACAACCCAGATTATGAAGAACTTGAACGAGCCCAGATCCCAAATACTCATCTTGTTTAATTTTGAAAGCGTAGAAATATTTCCATGTTAGTCAGTAATCAAGAGAACTTATCTAGCTCAAAGTGGAATCACACAAACAACAGCCAACGGAACATATTCATTGAGAAAAAAAAAAAAAAAAAGGCAAAAAGCATCATGTTCATGTCACTTGCAGCCTTACCAAAACGGGCTGTTCCACACGATCCTCATCTCGATAGTTATGATGAACAGCAAACAGAACAAAAGCCGCAACCGAGAACAAGAACAGAAGCGCCCAGATCCAGCATGAGAATCGCCGTCTTACCGGGCGCCGGAAGTCGGTCGCCCGCCGCCGCATCTTCCGAACCGAATCTTCAACAGCTCGATCCTCGAATCAACAATTCAACACCGCCCATCAATCAACCAATCGGTTTTTCGGCAGACAAACGTAAGAAACACAAAAAAAAACCACCCCAAATTCAAAAATCTCGAACAATAACCACCAATCGCGCGAACCCAGTCAGCAACTCCGAGAAGAGAACCGACACATGAAAAGCTCGATCAAGATCGAGGGCGGTAGCTTTGGGAAAATCCGGGCAAATTTCAAAGTGGGTCGCCTCAAGATTCCATTCAAAGGGCAAAAATCAACGTGAATTGAGTGAATTAGGTATGGGAATGTGTGAAAGGTCTCTCTCCCAATCAGCCCACACGTGAAAAATGTCAGCTTTTGGAGTTTGAGGAATTTGAGGAGTATGGCTCTGTGTGAGCTTGGGCTTTTTTATTACCTTTATTCTCATCTGCTAACAGAGCTATTTAGCTTATAATTAACTAATAATTATCATTTCAGATCAATTGAAACAAAAAATTAAAAAAAAAAAAGGTACAACAAAGAGATCTGAATTTGTTGTCTATATAAGTAAAGAGTATCATTTCTTCATTAAAATTATTTCCTAAGTTTAAAATTTTGCAATTTGTTACTCTCATTGTGTTTAGTTTATGAAAAACATGTTTAAGATGGTGTAAACTCATACAATGTGTTAACGATTGAGAATTAATTCTATAGTTGAAATGTGGAGAATTCAAGTTTATGCAACTCAAAATTGAGTTTAATTAAGTAACTCAAAGATACAGTATTCACACACATTTTGTAAACGAGCTATAATCATAATCATACAGTATGCATGTTAGAACTCTAGAAGGGTTCGTTGGAAACGAGTAAGAAAATACGGAATACAATTTCAAGTCTAGATGAGCACGTACAAGCTCCTGACGTGCACCAGGCCTTGTTGCGGGCACATCTCCTGGATCAGCCCTCTAGTTGGGCGCGACGAGCATGTGACCCAGACGCACCTGCTCGTGTCGAAAAGGTCCATACTTGAAAAGGTAACATTTCTTTACCTGACAATTTTCCACAAAGTGGCGACGAAAGGAGCAAAAATTACTTATAGTTGCAGAGACTCACATTAATAAGTTCAGTCCATATTTTGATCACCTGGTACTTTATACGATTTTGTTTCATTGGAATTCAGTCTATATGCTAATCCAACAATTAAAATACAACGTTATTTTTGTGTTTACCAGTTTATTAAATTTTAACATGTACGCAATCTACATCATGCAATTGTTAAATAGCCATTGGATTTTCACTGTCTGCGATAGCTATTGCTCAATTACAAACACAAAATCCTACAATACAGAGAGGAAAATATACATGGAAATGCTATGGTCACGTTACGGAACCATTCTGTCGAAGTTTGTAATCGTTAGATCATCATGTAACTGTCGGGGATAGTTGATCCAACGGTTATATACCCCGACGGAATGGTTTCATAACGGGACCGTAGCATCTCCCAAATATATAAACATAATCACAAGAAAAAGGGCGATTTTTGAAATATTCCAGCTAGTCAAGCCCGATCATCTCCAGGTAGACTTTATTGAGTGATCACAAAACTCATCTTTCACCATCTGTCGACAGCAAACATTCAATCCCATTTTCGATCAGGTTCAAAGTATGTTGCTGCAAAATCACAATCATCAGATTACGACATTATACAGAGGAAAGGATAATGTTTGAAGGACATAACTCATGATAGATAGAGGAAAGCATATTTCATAATGAGATATCAAAGGAAGAAAAGGTGCAAATTAATTGATGCTATATTTTTTATCAAGTGAAGAAATAAGCTCCATAGTGTGCTAGGCAACAAAAATACAGAACTGAACTCTTATGGTGGTAGTTTAAGTTCTTACCAAACCTGAACCTGGAAATTTTCGCTTGTCAGGCTGTGTAATTCGTTCTTCTGCCAGATTTGAACCTGAACTTGGAGGCCCACATTCCCTAGTCCCTCTTGTTCATCTAGAATGTTTTTAGCCGAAATAACAGCGGAGTCACGGCAAAGTTCCAACCTAATAACTCGAAGTGTGGGTATGTGTCCAATATCCATAGGTATCTCGTTCAAGCTCGTCAACATTTGAAGCATGAGGCACTCAAGCCGCGGGAAATGTGTCCTGTCTGCATTCCAGTTTACGAGATCTTTGCACCATGCGACTTGCAAGAACTTCAGGCAGAGGAATTCGCCCTCCACCGGATTCCAGTCGGGCCCAACAAAAGATTCGGGCTCTAGTTTGAGAACCTCAAGATTGGGTAAGGAGCCAATCAATGACATATCCTCCCAGAGAAGCCCACATCCGTGTAGGGTCAACTTCTTGAGCGAAATCGGAAAGGCAAGATTCATTAGTAATAAACCTCGACTGACCTTATAGTGTTGAAAGAAGAGAGATAGTGATCTCAGTTTAAGTGAACGGCCGAGATTGCCGAGACAGTAATAAGGCCATTCCTTGTATCTCGCGTACGTTTTGGCATAAGTAACTCTCAGTTTTGTAATATTTGGGATTTTCTTAACAACCTCCTGACTAAACCTGAAATTTCCTACATTAACCAGAGTTTGCAAGTTTGATAAGACGAGATGATCACCTCCATCCGTATTACCAGACGGTGGATCAGGGAGAAGAATAACATCAAACTTTATATGCCTAAGTTGTGGCATCTTCCAAATTTCAGGAGGGGCAACCGTGATACCCCAGGTTCCCTTCACAACTAGCGTCTGCAAATTCTTCAGGAGGAACATGGAAGAAGGAAACTGGGAATTCAATTTCCAGTCGGTTCTAAAGGCAAGGTACCGTGAGTTCACAAACTGAAAAGCAACACCTAACGGGTTCATATCTTCTTCTTCTTTTTTCGGTTTATGGGAATATTCATTGTCCAATTTCAGAACCCTCAATAATTTGAAGGTAAGTGGTGGCAAGACCTGGTCAAAATTGCATATCAGTGTACGGGCAAGTGATGCCGATTGCACGGCATGAATTACTTCACTGACATATTTATCCTCAGACATGCTTTGGTTGATTACAAGTCGGCGTGCATTGTTCATACCTTGGGGAACATCATCAAGACTGTGCACCCTCATCACGGAGAAAAACTTCTCCATTCGAGCCTCCCTCAGGCACAGCTCCCTAAAGAGATCATGAATGTTGCAAAATTTTACTTTTCCGCTGGAGCCCCACTCACAAACCAAAACAAGATTCCTCTCGACAAGTTCATGCAGAAAGTCTTCAGCAGTTTCCTCCATGCTTTTATATCTAGTTAGTTCAACAAATCCCTCGGCAACCCAGAGTTTGGTCAACTCAGACACACGAATCTCGTGATCTTCCGGAAATACCCCTATATAGAGGAAACACGGTTTCAGATGAACAGGTAGCTGGTTATAGCTTAAAGATAACACCTTCAAGCAATGCTCATAATCATCTGAATGGGGAAATGAGCTTGCACCTTCCGCAATATGCCCCCAGTATTCTAATGATTTATCTGAACTCGCCAGAAGTCCAGCTGTCACAACAATCGACAGAGGAAGTCCTTTACAATTTTCGGCAATCTTCTTCCCGATTTGCTCCAACTTGAGAGGACAGCGATCTCGTCCAAATACTTTATCACAAAGCAAATCCCAACTATTCTCCAAATTAAGAAGTTTCATGTGGAAGCTACTAGAACTAACATAGGTTCCCACACTTGATAGCCTAGTGGTTACCACAATTCGACTTCGACAGTTGTTATCGGGAAAGAACATCTTTATACGATCCCAAACATTTGTGCTCCAGATGTCATCCATGACAATCAAATATCTCCTACCCGATAAACTTTTATGAAGTTGCAATCCTAAATCCTCTTCGCTTTTCCCACCCATTTCTGCACAAAAATCGATTAAATTTTCGTTCGGCCCCTGTTTCCTTTGGCAGAAAAGAATCCTCAAAAGAATGTCCCTCAGATTATACTCTTGAGATACTGTGACCCAAGCACGCGTGTCAAAGTGTTGCACGATAAGCGGGTGGTCGTAAACATTTTTAGCGAGAGTGGTCTTACCGATGCCGCCCATTCCCACTATAGGGACAATCTGTCGAGCAGGTGGCGTGCCTGCGAGTATTTCCAAAATTTGAATAAGCTCACCATCAAAACCCACCATTTTATTCCCCTCATCAAGGAACGCCCTTGATGAGCTAGCAGGAGATGAGTTTCTGGGCAGCGTTTCTTTGATTCCGTATTTAATTTTATCCTTCATTTCGATCGCCTCTTTCGTGATAAAGTTCAGGTCTTTGATCATTTTTTCGAGACCTTGGTGGGAAAAAATAAAACCATCGTCATCATCGAGCTGACCTGTGGACCCAGCAAGAGTTCGATCCACAAAATGGGACTCGATGGCATCTTCTGCTGCGCTGGCAGCATCTGCTATTTGATTCTCGAATCCTTCTTCGCCATTGATGCCCCCTAGGAGAAATTCCAGCAAGAAGCTGACTATTTCTTGCAGGGTCTCTAACCTTTGTCGCTCTAGACAGTTGAGATGGTGGTCGTGGCGCAGAGTCTGATCGATCGTGTGCATAAGAGAGATCACAGCTGCATATGCTGCTACCATCTCTCAAGTTTCTTTACCTTTTACTCGTTCCTGCATAAGATTTCTATTTTTTTCGACTTCAAGATTTCTTCACAAAGTTTGAATATTCAGAGAAATTGCTTCAGGCTTTCAGCTGCACAACTTGCCTCCGCTGTAAGAATAAACAAACGAGCAGCAAGTGCAATTGAGTCTGTGGGGCTCAGGCTCAGCTCCTCAGATCTTGTGTTAAAAATAAGGGCAAATATTCAATTTTGATCCGTTAACTTGTCCATTGTCCACTTTTGGTCCGTTAACTTGTCCCTCATAAAAAAGGTCTATTATGTTACATTTTTCATCAGTTTTAGTACACTACTCCAGTTGGCGGGATCATGAGATGATGTGGACCGGGATTAGAACTACGTGGAGGGATAAGATGTTGACGTGGTAGGATAAAAAACTGATTTGACATCTCGTAATCCCGGGCCACGAGATTAGCGTACTAAAACTGATGAAATGTGTAACATAATGAACCTTTTTTGATGAGGGACAGATTAATGTACTAAAAGTGGACAATAGACAAATTAGCGGACCAAAATAAGATTTTTGCCTAAAAATAAGCCACGTTCCAATTCATTTAAAATCAAACATTATTTCGTCGAGAACCTGAATAGAATATTTTATGTGAATTCATGATGAAACTTGCCCTAGTTGTTTCAATTATTGAAAGTTATGTTTTTAATTTCGATATATATTGACACAATCGTTGAGAGATGTTACAGTCCCATTACGAAATTATTTCGTCGTGGTTTATAACCATTAGATCCTAATGAAACTGTCAGGGCTAGTTGATTTAAACAAACATCGACGGAATGATTCCATAACAGAACCGTAACATCTCCCCAACTCATGATGCAATAACGTATGAAAAATGCTATATTGCCAACCTAGTGTACAACTAGGTTGACAACACAAGTATAAACATCCACTTGTATATTTTTTTATTATTAATTTTATAAGTGTTTACACTTGTGTTGTCAACCTAGTTGTACACTAGGTTGGTTATGTAGCATTATTCATAACGTATTTTGCTTTATTAATAAATAAATTTTCAAAAAAATGAATAAATTAATAACAAATACATCCACAAGCCACCCATCAATCAGCTAAGACTTCAAAACTCGGCAAATCTCCGCCTGACAACCATTGCCAGCTCTACCTCCCCCACCCCAACCAAACCCTCAAACACCCTCTGCCTCACCCTTATGTAGGGTATAAAACCCCTCCCTCTCATCCTCACCGCAAACTTTCCCGCCAAAACGAACTCGCGAGCCTCCAAACAACATTCGAGAACCGACTCATACGCCTCGAACCCCACATCCACATTCTCACCCTCAAGAAACTCCACCATCTCAACACCTCTCCACGCGTCCCTATTGGCCCGAATGGCATTGGCCGCCTTCACAACTATCTCCTTCCTCGGGCTCAGCCCGTACCCCCTCACCATCTCCTTAAACATCTTCAAAATCCCACTACTCATCCGAAACTCACTCATCTCACCTATCAATGTGCCGAAACTATCCAAATCCGGAGCACACCCGGCTCTGCCCATGGCCCGCACGACTTCCACTGCTTCTTCGACTTTATTGACTTTGCAGAGGGACTGAACGAGATAGTTACACGTCCCACAGTCAGGGGAATACCCGATCGAACGCATCTCGGTTAACATGCTTGAAGCCGTATGATTCTTGTTCAGAAGCCGCCTGTCCAGCCACGCTTTGGAGAGCGTGAGATGAGTCTGAGGGGAGGGAAGGCAGCCCGAGCGGAGGGTGCGCTGTAGGACGGCGAGCCCGAGAGGCAGAGGATCCGGGCCCTCAAGCGTGAAGGAAAGGAGGTACGAGTAGGCGAGGCGTGGACCGGAGCGTGGCCGAATCGGGATGAAAGACTGTAGGATTTTGTCTACCGTGCGGGCCTTGTGGGCTCCCGGGAGTGAAGAGAGAAATGAAAATGGATTCGGGCTTTGGCTTTGTTGGTGGGATGACGGCATTGCGGCATTGAGGATATCGGGTATTTTGTGGTATGTCTTGGACTCCACTGCGGCCCGTATGGATTCTTGGAGGGGGTTCGGCAAAAATGAAGAGCAAGCGGACGAAAACTGAAGAACATGTGTAAAAGCACGACTCGTTATGGGGCCGCGGACGAACGAGCAAAAGTTTGCAGCTGCCATGGCCATGTACGGACCCAGTTGTTGGGTTCCTTTGAATAGAAAATACTAATGAAAGTAAATAGGGGAAATACAGATGGAAATATGAATGAACCTAATATATGAGGTAAATGGTGGGGAAGTTCGTTGGGTAAAATGGTCGAACAGGTTATGTGCAATGGAGTATTTACATGTAATATGTGTTATCCAAAGCCGATTGGGCAAGAGAAGATTAGTCAGTGTGATTATCGACTCGTCAATATTCTTGGCAATATTGTCAAGAGAGAGGTTTTGTTTTTGTAAGGTGCTATACACTAAACTCGTTTGCACTACGAGTGAAGGGTGAGAGAATATAAAATCAGAAGGTGCAAAAGAATCACAGTGGTTTTGTGTTCTGTTTAAAAACTTCACCTTCGCGAGTGACCGGGGATCCTTTGTGCAAGGCTTGTAGGGTGTGTAAACTTAATCTCGATAAACGTTCCAAGTCTAATATATAAGCTTAATCGACTATCTATATATATATAATTACTAGTCAATAGCATTTAATAAAACTTATTTAATAAAATCTCTAACTTTTTTCCCTCAATTTTCGGTTACAAAATTTAACATTAATAATTTTTACTTCCCACATTAATACATCATATTAAGTGTAATCATGTATGTTCTATTATATTATATAATAGTTATTGCTAATACTAATTAATGCTAATTCACAATAAATATAAATTACATAATTATAAATAATTTTTTCAAATTATGTATTTTAACATCAATATTATATTTTTCTTTTGTAGCTCATAAAAATATTTCTTTAAAA